GGCCTCACTGATGAGCTCCTAAGTGCATCCCGGGGTCTTCAGACAACTGCCAGGCGGCCCCATACCTGGACGAGTGCTGGGAGTCAGCTCAGATGGGCTGGGTCCTCCCCAGGCCCACCCTGCATGAGAGGACCATGCAGATGAGGGTCTTGCAGGCCAGCCTGTGTCAGTCTGAAGAACCCTGACTCAAGGATGGAGTGGGCCAGCCTGAGGCCTTGATGGCCCTTCTCAGAGCCCAGGTCCGCTGATATGAAACAGAGACCTGGTGACTGGGCAGCCCTGTGCTCTCGGCCTGACCCTGCCGTGGAGGTGGCCCTGAGGGAGATGAGCAGGGTGCAAGACTGGTGGCCTGTCTGCCTTGTCCAGAGGAAGTGAGGACCTACCAGAGCCCTGGTGCTCCCATCTCAGCCCAGTGGTAGGCAGCTTCGTGGGGTGGAGACATGCTGGGCAGGCCGGGCCCTCTGCCTGGTGTGCCCACACATCTCTGGTTGCCGCTCTGTGGCCCTCATCACCTTGGCCTGCTTTATCCCTATCACCCTTGTCCCAGCCTAGGCTTACCAGGGCATTGTGGAGTGCATGCCATTCCCAGCCACACAGAAGGTGAGGCGGGGCCCAGACACCCCCAGTCACTCTGCCCCCAGCCTCCTGAAGGGGTGGGCTGTGCACACACTGCCACCTCCCCAGTGGGTGCTGGCTGCCAAGTGCCACCATCTCAGCCCCTGCTGTGGCTCAACGGGTCCTCCCATAGCCATATCAAGACGTCGTCACCCATTGCACAGATGGGGAACCTCAGGCAAAGCTCACAGAGCCAGTGGGAGACTGAGGCCTGACCCCCAAACAAGCATTCTTCCTCCAGGGTCCCTGCACACAGCAGCCCCAGCACTAGAAACTGAGCTCTCACCACAGGGATGGATCACATTCTCAGACGAGTCATGTGGCACCAGCCATCAGTCTGAGGACAGCGCTGGGATGGACCAGGCTCCAGTCTTGCGCTGCTCTGTGCTTGCAGAGAGGCCTTGAGAGACACTTCTGTGCTTACTGCGCAGGCGTCACTTCAATTATCGGTGACTCAGAGCGGCCCACTACAGCTGAAGATTGTGACCCCACCTCCCTCTCTCATAGGTTTAAAGCCCCTCCCACCCCTCCTGCAGCAGCCAAAGTGGCCATTCTGGGGCATGGGATGAGCATGGGAGAAAATGGGGAGCCAGGGCTGTCCTGGAGGCTTCTGGCACCGGAACCCTCTCCAGCCACCAAGCCCAGCTGTTCCCTGTTGCTCTGGGCTGAGGCCTGGGCCTCCACCTGCCCACAGTTCTGTGCAGTGGGAACAGGATGGAGGCCTGCAGAGGGAGCGCTGAGGGACGGGCTGGTTGGCTGTGTCTGCCACCTCGGTCAGCACCCTGGCCAGCGCCCTCCTCTCTGGAAGCTGGGCCCCCTTCTGGGTGCTGGCTGGCTGGTCAGGTGTGGGCCAGCGTTGACAGGGAGTTATAGGGGTGCAGAAGCAGAGTTGAGCAGGGCTAGGCAGCTGGTTGGTCTGCTGCCAGCAAGGCACAGTCCACTTCTCAGGCTGCGCATGTGGGACGGTTTGGTAAGGTACATTTTTCAGGGTGTAGCCAGGTGGGGGGCAGCATGGGGAGTGGTGCACTCTCTGGGCAGGCGACCGCAGAGCCATCACCCCCAGGACCCAACGGGCAAGACAGGGGGAGCAGCTGATGGCTGGTGAGGGGCTAGCGGGGAGGGCTTGACAGGGGCACAGTCAGTTCTATGGGGTAACCTCATGGGAGGAGCCAGGGACCCTGTGGGCAGAGTCTGGCCGTCTGCTGCCCGGAGTCTACACCAATCAGTTCCTAGGAAGCCCTAGCAGGGGTGCTGGAAGGACAGGCCATCTGTGTCCAGCTGATCCAAGCTCCCAGGCTTTCTGGACACGTGGCCCTGGGGATCAGGAGTGAGCTGGAGACTGGAGGCAGCTGTGCCCTCAGAGCTGGGCAGATCTGTCACACCCTGCCTGGGCTAGGTCAGCAGGGCCACACAGGCATCTGCCTGAATCGCTCCCCACCTCAAACCCACCCTGTAGGTCATGTCCTTTGCCAGCTTGCTCAGCCCACCACCTCCCTCCAGTGAGGCCAGAGGCTGCCTCACCTCCAACCCCCACCCCCAACCTGGGGCTCCGCTGAGCAGGCGTCAAGAAGGGTGAGCAGGCATTTCGAACCTGCCCTGGTTTTGAGCTGAGGGAAGTGGAGGATGCAGGAGTTGCCCACTCCAGAGGCCCTGGGTGTGTGTGAGGAGCCCTGAGGCTGGGCCAAGCCACTTGGAGACACTGTGCCCCCTCCATCTGAGATTGGGGCCCAGGTGCCCGGGACACTACAGACCTTTTGGGGAACCTGGGAGTCGGGAAGTCTAGAGCTAGGACCCACAAGCTGGATTCTGAGCTTTCATCCACGCCCTCCTGACGCTCCCCCAGCCACTGCCTGTGCATCAGGGGAGACAACATCCCCCCATGCCCACCTCTGTCCCCATCCAGGCTGTTCCTCCCCTCATCTGCTGGGATCAGTTTTTTTCTTTAACTGAGCCCCATGGTGGCAAAGGGAGAGCTCCAGGGGACCAGGCAGCAGAGAGGAGAGGGGAGAAGCCCTCAAACAGGCCGGGAGGTGGGAGGCCATGCACTCCGCACAGAGCCACACACAGCAGGAGGGGGCTGGGTGGAGGTTCAGAGCCCATTCTCTCCTGGGCACTGTTCTGGAATGGCCCCTAGTCCCACTCTGTTCTAAAGGTGGGACCCTCCAGCCCAGGGACCCTGGATGGGGTCCAGCCTGGGCAACAAGAGCGAAACTCCATCTCAAAAAAAAAAAAGTAAGAATTAACTAAGGAGGAGAAAGACTTGTACAATGAAAAGTACAAAACATTAGAGAAATTAGACATAAATAAATGGAAACATATTCCATGTTCATGGATTGGAAGACCTTATATTGTTAAGATATCAATAATACCCAAAACAATCTATAAATGTAATGCAAGCCCTACCAAAATACCATGATTTTTTTTTTTTGCAGAAATAGAAAAACCTATCCTAAATTCATATGAAATACCAAAGGGTCCTGAATAGCTAAAGCAACCTTGAAAAAGAAGAACAGAGATAGAAAACTCACATTTTCTGATTTCAAAACTTACTACAAAGCTACAGTAATCTAAACAGTGTGGTACTGGCATAAAGATAGACATAAGAGACTGACAGAATAGAGAGCCCAGATTTATAGTCAAATGATTTCTGATGAGGGTACCAAGACCATTTAAGGGGGGAAAGAACAATCTTTACAACAACTGGTGCTGGGAAAACTGAACATCCACATGCAAAAGAATGAAGCTGAAGCTGGATCTCTACCTAATAGCATACACAAAAATTCACTCAAAGTGGAACAAAGACATAAATGTAAGACTGAAACAATAAAACTCCTAGAGGAAAAGCTTCACAACATTGGATTTAGCAATGATTTCTTGCATATGACACCGAAAGCACTAATGGCAAAAGAAAAAGTAGACAAATTAGACTTCAAGAAAATTAAACTTTTATGTGCATCAAAATACACTATTAACAGAGTAAAAAGGCAACCCACAGAATGGAAGAAAATATTTTATTTATTTTATTTTATTTTATTATTTTTTATTATTATTATTTTTTGAGACGGAGTCCTGCTCTGTCATCCAGGCTGGAGTACAGTGTTGCAATCTCAGCTCACTGCAAGCTCCGCCTCCCGGGTTCACGCCATTCTCCGGCCTCAGCCTCCCGAGTAGCTGGGACTACAGGCGCCCGCCACCTCG